CAATAAGCCCAAGAAAAAGTACTCAACATAATTTAGCCAACAGGAAATGCAAATCAAAACCACAATGAGATACCACTTCACACCCAGTAGGGTAGCTATAACAAAAAACAAAAATAGCCCAGAGTAGTGGGTTGAATTCCATCACTCTGGGAGGTCAAGGTGGGTGGACTACTTGAGCTTAGGAGATGGAGACCAGACTGAGCAAGAGTAAGGACCCAGTCTCTACTAAAAATAAAAAAATTAGCCAGGTGTGGCGGCAGGCACCTGTAGTCCCAGCCACTAAGGAAGCTGAGGCAGGAGGATTGCTTAGGCCCAAGAGGTTGAGGTTTCTGTGAGCTAGGATGCCAGGGTACTCTCCCCAGGGCAACAGAGTGAGAAATAAATAAATAAATAGGCAAAAATCACATAGTATAATTTAAAAAAATAAGTAACAAGCATCTGCAAGGATATGGAGAAACAGACACCCTTATATGTTGCTGGTGGTAATATAAAATGGTCAACCACAACCACTGTGGAAAACAGTTCAACGGCTCCTCAAAAACTTAACCAGACTTACCATATAATCCAGAAAGCCCATTTCTGGGTACACACTCAAAGGAACTGAAACCAGGGACTCAAACAGACACTCACACACCCAAGTTCAAACCAGCAGTACAACAATCCAAGGCTAGAAGCAACTCAAAACGTCCATCAACTGATAAATGGATAAATATGTTCTTTTTTTTTTTTTTTTTGACAGAGTCTCAAGCTGTGGCCCTGGGTTGAGTGCAGTAGCATCATAGCTCACAGCAACCTCAAACACTTGGGCTTAAGTGTTTCTCTTGCCTCAACCTCCCAAGTAGCTGGGGTTACAGGAGCCCACCACAACACCTGGCTATTTTTGTTGTTGTAGTTGTCATGGTTGTTTTAGCTGGCCCAGGCCGGGTTCAAACCTGCCACCCTCAGCGTAAGTGGCTGGTGCCGTAATGCCTGGGGCTTTCTTTACTATACAATTAAATATTATTTGGCATAAAAGACATTAAAAGAAATTTAGGGCTGGGCACCTGTAGCTCAAGCGACTAGGGAACAGGCCACAAATACCAGAGCTGGCAGGTTTGCATCCAGCCTGGGCCTGCCAAACAATGACAACTATAACCAAAAGAAAAAAAAAAATAGCCAGGGCGTTGTGGCAGGCGCCTATAGTCCCAGCTAGTTGGGAATCTGAGGCAAGTGAATCGCTTAAGCTCAAGAGTTTGAGGTTGCTGTGAGCTGTGATACCACAGCACTCTACCCAGGGTGACAGCTTGAGACTGTTTCAAAAAAAAAGAAATTTAGTACTGATATATGCTACAACATGGATGCATCTTGAAAACATGATACATACCAGAAGTCAGACACAAAAGGTCACATAGTGTATGTTCCCATTTATATGACATATCCAGCATGGGCAAATCCATAGAGAAATTAGTGGTTGCCAGGGGCTGGGAACTTGGGGGGAGGAGGAGAAGTGACTGCTAATGAGTACAGGTGATGACGGACAGGGGTTATGTTTGCACAATTTTGTGAATATATTAGAAACCACTGAATTATACACTTTGAAAGAGAAATTATATGGTATTTGAATTATATCTCAGTGAAGTTACTTTTTTTTTTTTTGAGACAGAGCCTCAAGCTGTCCCCCTGGGTAGAGTGCTGT